TATTTTATAATAATTTGCAGTGGTTGATGTATTTGATTTCATTGAAAGGAATCATGATTAATAACATAAATCACATATCACTGGATTTAAAATGATTGTTGATATTTTGAAATAGATGAACACAAAGCTTTATCCACAAGTCATAGCAGAAACAGTCATATATTGCTAGGTTCATAAGATAAATTATAAATAGAACTAGATTTCCAGTTAAAATGCGATAAGAGGGTTCCTAGAAAACTTTTATTTCACATTATCCTATTCTTTCAATAGTGATGGAAGTAAATGATATTTGAGGAAAATCTATGATCAATGCTATTCAATATCACTTGTGAAATTTTCGCAAAACTATTTACAAAATCACAACACGTGCTTTACTACACAAAAGTTTCTTCAAGCCTGTTCAATATCAATGAATTATTATACGATACATTAAAAAAATAATAATATATTGATAAGTTAGTATTGAACACACCTGAAGAAGCTATTATATAATGAAACATGTGTTGTGGTTTTCTAAACTGTTTTGTGAAAGTCTTAATAATAATGTTTTATTCAGTACTTGCATGTTTTTCATCTTTCAAAAAATAAAATTCTTCCTAGATAAAATATTCGTCTCCTACAGATAGATCCAGCATATTTGCAATCAAAATTCACCCCAACCACTGAAAATGATCATCGGATCTAAAAAGGCACACTGCTTTGAGTTATTGCAAAAGAAAGAGCATAAGTACAAAATACCATATAGAACTTTGAATAAGTATTAATAGCTTAGAACAAAAAAATTATATAAAAGTAAAATACTCCGTTATTTATGGTTGACAATTAACGCTTGAAAAAGGCAAGCCTTCTGTAGTAACAAATAGCTTCATTTTGCTAATTAGAAAGTTTTGGACCTCAAGTTATGTCAGATCTATGCAATCTCTTCTTCTCAAAGGAACTGAAGAGAATATTCTAGAATATACTACATCTATATAAGAATAAACTCAATTTATAAAAAAATCTATTGATATGTGAAGACAACCAGGAGAAAACTTCATGTAGATGTATTTTAACTTTAAAATCAAAGTAGCCAACTAAGTCTTAGTGAACTACAAGTATTAGATGGAAATATGCAGTCTAAATTACCATTAAAATGAGAATTACCATGAAAAAGTTAAAATATTGTTTTCATGCATTTTGTCTTAGCAACATGAATTTAATTAAACAGAAAATGAATGAAATTATGTTGACAGAAGATGGCGAAGAAAAGCAGCAGGGATGCGAGGTAGTTACAAGAAGAAAGAGAAGACATAATAGTTATTTATGTATCAAGGGAATTAGGAGTGCCTTAATTACCGATGGCAAAGTTTGCGTCCCGAGGGCCTCTGGCCCGAGGGACAGCAATTGCCTGAGGTTATTAAGGCTCATTAATTCCCGTGGTACATAGATAATTTTATTTCTAACCGATTTCAATAAAATTTTGTTCATTTTTGAAANCCATTGGATCCTTCTATAAATTCAAAAGAGCAGTAAAAAATCTATTATTAGACAGAGCCTATTACAGTCTGAATGAATACTTTAGTGAAACACTAGAATAATCCTTATTTAATTTCCATATGTCGCATAGTGTTGCTCATCTTTTATTATGTATAGTTGTGTAGATTTATATAGTATTAAGTGTGACATGTTACCTTTTATTAACAAGTTTAATTGTTGTTGACATATTTTCTCTGGTATCAGTGCTGTGTATATTTTATATTTTTTTTTTAATTTTTTAACTTTGTAACCATGATGTTATTCATGAACAATAAAGTACTTTCTCTCTCTCTCTATGTTATATTGCATGTAATGGGATAAAAATTCTTCTTAATGTAATTTTCAATTAGTGTTCAGTTAATCAGCTGCATTTTTCCACCTTTATTTCTGAATACAATAAAACATTCAAGATAATTGATTTCATTTCTATGTTCAGTCTTTTAACATCAATGTCTGCAGTGACACTGGCATATTATAGATTGCTCACATTTATTTATCGATATAACTATTGTTATATCGTTAACACTATTGTTTGTGAAAGGGATTTCTCTGATGTTTTTTTAGTTACTAATAGTTTTTTGGTATGCTGAAGCTACTTGATTATATCAATACAATGCCTCAAAAAAAAATCCATTGCCATTGGAAAATTACTAATTTTACAAACCGCACCTACACAAACTTGTGATCGAATCGTTAAATGTGGTTTGTGAAATTACTATGAACCTTCATCAAGAAACACCCAAGTCAATCAGAAAAAAAAAAGTAAATTACTAATCTGACCTAAACATAAGCTGACACAACAAAACCAGATAACGTAACAGATGTTGCCATAAAACTGCATGTTCAGTAAGCTGGTCTTGAAATAGTTGTTGTTTGTTTACTTATCACCCTCTCTCCTTGAGCTATCTGACCATTCTTTATGGCCTGGAATTTGATAAAAGCATCTATACCATACAGCACCATACCACAAAATCCAAAGAACTGAAAAAATAGTGAGATGATTAGTTAAATAACTTTCTCAATTCAGTGTCCTACATTTCATTGAAAAATTAAATTTTTTGAAATATTTCAATTTGATACTAAAATATAAAAGTGTGATTTTCTTTGTTTCATTTGTCGTTATCAACATAATTTGAATTCAAAGAATTGAACTAGTGACGTGTAACATAGAGTGTTAGCAATCGGAACGAATTGTGTGATTTGCATTTAATTTCAACACAGATGGCTTTTTCCAGACTCCATAAAAATAAAATTTTACTACCATAAAAATAAAATTTTTTCCAAGCATCATCAATTACCAGCTGTCAATATCAATAACACATCACAACAAAGTTTTTGTTTCGGGGTTGAAATTAGATGATTTTATTGTATTTCCACGTGTTAAAACCGAAAGTGACCATAAAAATTATATATTAGCTCTTGTTTTCAAGATATAGTATCATTATATTATATATATGTATATTGAGTTTTCAACAAATGAAATATTTCATCACCAACAGTTGGTACACATGTTTGTTTACATAACACCCCTCTCATCAGCTGTTCTTAAGTAGTAAACATAACCTATGTGAGTTTGTCAATTGTACGCACGTGGTTGCTATTGAAATTATCGTGTGAAGTTGATTTTTAAATTAATTTAAGTGCTGATCTGAAATGCCTCGAAAGTGTGTGAATTCTGTCGATAGCTTTTGCTATATATGTG